GATAAAACACTTATACATGTGAAATCGAAGCAAATATATAAAATTTAACAACTGTTTAAATTCAGGGCAAAAATCTAAAATTATGTCATGAGCTAAGGTGTGTATTGTGATGCTTGGAAGACTGGGGATGTTTGACAGAGGCTAGGTATTTTAGTTGGAGGTCAGCTAAGAGGGTGATTTTGCTTGCAACATTCACCTCTAGGACTTCAAAACACCGATTTGGCTTTACACTTGATGCACTTACCCCCGGGTGCACTCTGTGCCCAAAGGGAAGTTTGTTGATCTTGAAGACTTAGCCTGTAATACACTTTACCTTTGAGAAGCCCATGTATTGTGCCTGAAAGAGCATCAGCACTTTCATTGTCAAGGACAGCAGACACTTGGGCAGGGTGGTGGGTGTTTAGAAAAGTGAAGTTCTAGATTTAGGTAAATAACCACAAATCTTAATATTAGATTTTGGAAGTGAAGCCTTCCTTTTAGAGATTATGTCATGGGTGTATTAGAAGGACACGGGGAATTGCTTTCTCCCAGGGGAAGGCCCTTGGTGTGTCCAAGAGGCTATGTTACAGTTGTAGACTTAATGATAATGATATGGTTTGTAGGTACTTGTTATTAAGACATTGTGAATAATACTGATCTCACCAAAAACTCTTTGATTCCTGGAAAAGGATGGTGTCAGGTGCCATTTGCCTGAGTGAGTCAATGTTTCTACTTTGTTAAGAGCTCAGCTGAATGGCACAGGCTAGGGTGGGGGCTTTGTTTCATCCTGTTCACATTTCTTCTCCTTTGGAAATGTATATTGTAGGGAAGAGTTTTGATGATCTCATCAAATCAATTACATTCAAGGGGAATCATGTGTGCTGTGTTTGAGGAAAAAAAAGTCATATCCTTCTTAAGTTAGCCAAATAGAGCTTTCTTCAATGTCAACTATTTGCCAGACCCTATTCTAGAACTTACAGAAGGATTAATGTAAGAAAAGCAAGGTCAGGTCTATCATTTGGTGGTGAGCGGCACATCGGTGTCTCTTTGTATTGCCAATGAGGACCTGTGGAGAAAAGACTCATATTAAACAACAGACAAACTTGGAACACCTTGCCCTGAGAGATTAGAGTGTAAGTGGAGACAGAGGAAACATATCAAGCTTGCCAATTTCAGACCTCATGAATTTACCTGTTCTCATGGCCCCTTTAAAACCAGAGGTAAGGACATAAAATGGAGCTTCCATTTTCTCCAGGATTTGCACATGTTTAATCTTGTCTTTATTCTTGGAGTTTAGGGTGTATAAGTCATGCCTCTATAAAATGTCTGAGAGTCAGGACTTCAAGTAATTCCTTTCTATGCTGTCACAGACCAGTGCCCATGAAAGTGGAATGTCCCCTGAGTCTGGGAAGCACAGGGGAAGCACCATTGGGAGAGTGTGGCAGGATAAGGCCTTTTCATGACAGATAAGTTTCTGAGTTATTGAGAACTAAATCTTGATAGAAGGACTTGAGATATATTATGGAGGTGGACCTTAATCCCTAATAATTTCATTATCACTACTCTTATAGTTACATTTTGTGAACATCATCACACACTAGTTTTCATTGGAATTTCTTTTAAAACAATAGTGATGAAACTTTTAGATTTCCAGTTGGCCTTATCCATTATTTAACAATTTTGAAATTCAAATGCAGGTTATGATAGGCAAAGCTTAAAAGAATCTCTGCTATATGAAATTGTTTGCACCAAACCATGCAATTACTACATTGGGGAAAGATCTGGACTAGTGTTTACAAAAAGAAGACTACTGAGACAGGAACATCCCTATTTCTGAAGAATTTCCCTTTGTATGTTAGCTGTCAAGGTGACCCTTTTGGTGTAGAATACAAATGGTAAGCTGAGGAATGCTCATTCAAGGTGCGAATGTGGGACATTCGGGTTAGTCCTCTCAGCTCTTCTCTGATTACACTTGAAGACTGAGTTGTGCTGGGAGAATCAGGGAAGTGTCAGAAGACAGTAGTAGCTACCGCAGTCAGGAAAGGAAGCAGATGAGTAGACCTCTAGCTACTATCTCTAGGGTACCCTGAAACACTGTGCTAAGTGGTCCATGTTGTTGCCTTCTTGCTGCTGCTGTCCTGAAGCCAGTGGAAGGCAGGTCATGCTTCTTACAAAAGCACATATTCACACCCCTACATGAATTAATGAATTTAAAGTGTTCTTTAAAGGAAACATAAACACAGCAGATTCCTGACCAGTCTACTTCATATATACTTCATAATCACTAATGACTTTTTATGATACTGCCATCGGACAGGTGGGAGGAGGTCACAGTGTATATGTTTTCCTTTAAATATTGAAGAATTGGGAAGCAGACATTTGGGAACATAGGTGATCCCTGTGAAAGGGTTCCTCTAACCCCTGAAGGATTTGCAACCCACAGGTTGAGAACCCCTGCTGCAGCTGATTTGCAAAGAACTCATTAAACTTAACCACCCCAGTCTGGAAAGTGATGACAGCTGCTCTCACTCTGTTGCCTGCAATATTATGCTTAGTAGCCTTTCAATACATCTTATTAGTGAGTATTACTTGTACAAAGTGAGGGGTTCGCTTATGACCTATCCATTCATAAATATGCTGCATTTGATCACTTTCACCTCTTTATTACTCTTACTCTTAGTTCCCTTCCTGTTTCACAGTTGATAGATCCCTTTGATTTTGATACTCTCTTCATACCCCAGATTCTAACTGTGGGGAAAAAACACATGATAGGTGTCTTCATGGGAATGGCTGAATTTCTTTAACTCAATGTCTCTTTGGGTGTGGTTTAGTTGGAGAAACACCAAAGGTGTGACCAAAACCTTATTGTGATATTATACTTCCAGTTGGCCAGCTCATTTTCTAACTTTGGATACTAGAAACCAGACATACCCCTAGAATGATGCTTTAGATGTGATGTGAGAATCTGGACACTCAAAAGAGAACTAGTGAGTAAAGAAGGCCCTTGATCTAGCCCTGTGGTACGTGTGGTAGCTAATGTGAGCCTTTCATGATGATGCCATTTGTCAGTGCCTGGCCTCACGCGATGAAATAGTGACTGTTTCCCTGTAGAGACTCAGTAGGGACAGTGGCATTGTTGGCTAAACTCTTCCTTAATGTCAGCAGCATTGACAATTCTAGGAAGCTGAATTGCTCAGCTGAGGTTGACACTATGCTCCTGACCTTTCTGCAGAACATCTGGTGGCTGCTTCAGAGAGTTTAAATATTTCCTTTTACTTGTCATTTCTTTCTTTCTCCTTCTTTACAAATAAAACTACGTGCCTTTGGGAGTTTCTAATAATTTGATAAAGACAGAGAAACCTAGAAATGTCAGTGTAAATGCTGACTACATAGTTATCCAGCTCTAGTGACTGTATGAAGAGTGAATGGACGGGAATGGGATCAGTCTGCAAATGGATTAACAATGTCTTCTGTTACAGTGAAGGCTAGCATTCTTCTTAACAGAGAACAGTGTTTCTGTCTTCTCTGTACAATTTGCTCTATGTAGAAGAAGATGGTTGAGAGGTAGAGTAGGTGAAGAACTTGTAGAAATGCCAAACAAACATGTCTACAGAAAGAATTTTGAAATACTGTCTTCCAAAGTTGTTATTAAATCTACCTGGGAATCTAGTAAATAAAATCTAGCACGTGCGTCTGACTTAATTTTATATCCCCTGCCTCAGATATCATACTTTTAATTCTCTGTTGCCCCTTCCTAACTTACTCTCAAATGTTTAAATGTGATGGCTTAGTCTAGTATTTTTATTCTGCACCCTAGGAAGTATCCCTGAGGACCACACAGGTGAGGCCCAATAAATAAATTTTGAATGAATGCTTGGGATGTTTGTTCACTTCTCCCCCTTTCCATCATATAATTATCAAGAATATGTTTTATAAAAAGGCTGCTGTACAGTCGTGACACATGCCTTTAATTCCAGCACTCAGGAGGCAGAGTCCGGACCCCTTTGAGTTCAAGTTCAGCCTGGTCTACAGAGTGAGTTCCAGCCAGAACTGTTAATTGTTACACAGAGAAATCCTTTCATCAAAAAACCAATAACTAACTAACTAACTAACTAACCAACCAACCAACAACCAACCAACTAATCAACTAACAAACTAAAAAGGCTGCAGCATACATCCTATAGGAAACAAAGAAAACAGCATCGAAGAGACTGGTTGCCACTCTGGCACCAGCATCTACTTATGGAGAGTAGCAATATTCTCAGAGGTCGATGACTGCTATCAAAGGCAGACAATGTAGGTCAAATCTGAGATTCTCTGGGGGAAAGAAAGATGAGAGAAAAATTTTGTGCTCAGCAGGTTCACAGACAGCCCAGTATTGTTACTCTGAGAGACAGGTATTATTTCTTCATGTTTCTAGAGAAATTTAAATGTATGTAAATAGAAGATTCTGAACACAGGACTTGTTAAAGGGGAAACTTGGACTAGAGTGAAATTTCTTTTGCTTCTCTTCTTCCTTCTAACAAACTTGTAAAGATCTGATGAAAGTAAAAACAAACAAACAAAAATATTCCACCTCACAAAAAAAAACTCAAAATGGTAACTCAAAATGGTAGTGGGTTTATACTGAAAAATAGCAACAAACTAAGGAAGGACAAGTAACACAAAAACATGAGTTAAAGATACAGGATTGTTGTGACACACAAATGGGTATGGTCTCCAGTCAAAAAAGAGCTTTAACAACCAGTTGGAGAATCCCTGAACTTTTCCAGCTGCCAGGATTACTGGAACCAAGAGGGAAGGAAAGGCCTCTGAGTCACAGGAGTCAACCCAGTGATGATAGCCAAGGATGGGATATTTCCTACTTCTCAGAGTCCCTGTCCAGCCATTTATGGATGGATTTGCATTTATGTTAGGAATTTCTTGGACTTGCCCATGATAGGCAGATCTACTTCCCCTTGGGTGAGGCAGGTAGTCCTATAAAGAGAGTCTCAGCACTTGGCTGTAGTATTCTTGGTACTGTAGCACTGGTCTACTCTGGAGAATCTGGTGAGTCTGATTTCTTGAGTTCTTGATAGGGTCTGCCTTTTGGGTATTCTCATGTGAGGAGTTCCACCTAAACACAGTAATCTTGGTAATTCCAAGCTGATCTTGGGATAAATGTGATGTAGATGCAGGTTTAGGAATGGAGGACAATCATGTACTTTACTAGTTTGCTTTTTTGTTTATATGAACTGTAATTTGGTATCTACATGGAAAGACAAGATAATTGAGGAAGTTTTCATTTGAGATGAGAACAAAGCAAAACATGCAGTTTTCTTTTAATCACATCTCGATTGAATCCTTTTCAAAGAATATGTCACAAGCGGTTCAGAGGGACACCTATTCTTTCAACAGCTATCTGTTGTATTGCTCAGTCATTCTACTTGAAATATACTAGCATTAGATGGGTACTGTTTATAAGAATGCTAGGGTTAGGAGGATATTCTAGTCATATAAACACTATTTTCCAGTTCTGTGGAACAGAAGTATATCCTTAGGAATAATGACATAAGATAAAAGAATGGTTGGCTAATGGCATTTAAAAATGTTTAATAGTAGAGGGAACACAGGACATCTTTTTTTTGACTGCAGAATTCATTTTTATTTTCACAAGTTTTCCTATATGAAGTATTAGATATGAGAAATTAGGGTTTTTTCTCACACCTGCAATTTTAGTTTCCCTACCAAATATCAAATTATCTCCATGTCTCTTTTGCTAGAGCATTAGGTGTGTTGCTAGCGCATTTTAGGAAATAGATGTTCTCTTCCCCACATTTCTGCTTATTTTTCCTTTGTTTCAAACTGGTTCTGCTTCATGTATCTTCTCAGCTGATTTCCAGTATGATTAGGTAGTGAGCAGGAATATACACAATGAATTTCTTTACACCCCACTATTGCTGTGTTTGAATGACCATTATTAAAAGTCACTATGACGACCAGGGTTGTGGCTCAGTGGTCCAGCACTTTCCTAGCACAGGTGAGGCCTGACGTTCAACCACTGGTGTTGTCAAAAACAAAGAAACCTGACTTGGGTCTTCAGTTTTCTTGAGAATTCTTAAAAGATCTGGCTAGCTCACTCATTTTTAAAACTGAGTATTTTGTACCACATTATGCTCCTGGGGTTTTTAGTCCCAGTGGTAGTTTTATATATAATTTTTAAATTTAAATTTAAATTAGAAACAAGGTTGCTTCACATGTCAATTCCAGATCCCCCTCCCTTTCTCTCCCCTCCTCCTGTGCCTTCCAACAACCCCTCCAATATCCCCTCATTTCCCCAGGGAGGGTGAGGCCCTCCATGGGGGTGTACATAGTCTGTCATTTCATCCAGGGCAGGGCCTACACCCTGCCCCAAGAGTTCAGGGTGAGAGTGCATCTCTCATTGTTGGATGGGAGTCCAAAGTCCATTTGTATACCCGGGATAAATACTGATCTAATACCCAAGGCTCAATAGATTGCCTAGGCATCCTCACTGACACCCATATTCATGTGGTCTTGATCAGTCCCATGCTAGATTCCCAGGCATCAGTCTGGGATTCAAAAGCTAACCCTTGTCAGGTCAGCTGTTTCTGGGGGTTAAACCAGCTCAGTCCTAATCCCTTTGGTCATCAGTCCTCCCTCTCTGTCACTGGATTTCTTGAGTTCAGCTCAGTACTTAGCCGTGGGAGTCTGCCTCTGCTTCCATCAGCCACTGAATGAAGGTTCTGTTTTCCACACTCTCTGACCATGGCATTGTAGGCTGGCACTCCCCTGGTCTATGTCTAAAAACCATATACGAGAGAGTACATGCCATGTTTCTCTTTTTGTGACTGGGTTACCTCACTCAGGATGGTTTCTTCTAGTGCCATCCATTTGCCTGCAAATTTCAGGATTTCATTGCTTTTTCCCACTGAATAGTACGCCATTGTGTAAATGTACCACATTTTCTCTATCCACTCTTCAGTTGAAGGGCATCTATGTTACTTCCAAGTCCTGGCTATTACAAATAATGCTGCTATGAACATAGTGGAACAGATGTCCTTGTTGTATGAATGGGCATAAAAAGTAGAGGGAACCCAGGACATCTTAAAATGAGAGGGGAAGATTTTCATTTTCAACAGGTACACAAGAAGAGAAGAAAAATTCTGAAGTCCCATAAGCCTAGTTTCATCCTCAGTGGGGATCTCTTGTGAGAACTGTCTTGTAATGTCTTTCAGATCCTGAGACTTCAGCATGATGTCTTACCAACAGCAGCAGTGCAAACAGCCTTGCCAGCCTCCTCCTGTGTGTCCACCCCCAAAGTGCCCAGAGCCTTGTCCTCCTCCAAAGTGCCCTGAGCCTTGTCTTCCTCCACAATGCCCTGAGCCATGCCCCCCTCAGCCATGGCAGCCAAAGTGCCCTCCTGTGCAACCTCCTCCGCCCTGCCAGCCAAAGTGCCCACCCAAGAGCAAGTGAGGGCTTCAGGAGTCACCAGAAGCAGGGGAAATGAAGAAAATCCGTTTCACCTACTTCCATACAAACATCCCCATCTTCTTTTCAAATCCTGTCATGGATGCAGAGGAATATTCTCCACCCTGCCCCTCTACGTGCTTCTGATGACCCCTGATAGAGAAGGCATTCCTGTGAGGCTGTCTTCCTGCTGTTCCCAGGGACCCTGAGAATGGTCCTTCCTCAGTGATTCAGTGTCCCAGATGCTCAGAGGAAGAGCAGCAGCTGTATACCTTTCCTGTGCCCTGGCCTTCCCAGTCTGCTGTCACCTGGGCAGGCAGTTGTCACCGCTGCTTCACTTCCTGAAGAAAGTACCTTTTTGGTGATGGTCTAATAAACACTTTTTCCTTGGAAAAATGCTGTTTAAATATTGTCTTACTATTTTGACTTATTTCTATCCTTTGGTAGAGGAATTTTAAAATTTAATTGTGTGGTGTCTGAATCATATAAAAGATAAATTCAATATTATTTCAAATTCATGTTCTTGACTGCTGATTGAATATTTTTGAAGAGAATTCCTTAGCTTCTTAAAAGTTATGTTTTTAATACAAGATAGAAAACTATGATGTATTGTTCATCTACCTATAATCTATTTAACTTTTGTCTATTATTAACTTGATTCTTTATCAGAAAATAAATCATCACCAGTTGTGTAGTCAGTGTCAGACATCACTGTATGATGTGGTGCCCAGTGGTTGTGTCTGTACTATTAGAAGCAGTTCAACATAATTGTCAACACTGCCACTGTGTGGCTTTCTCACAACTTCTCTTTAAATGTTAATTATAAACAACATTATTCTTTTCCCACTGTGTCCCTTTATTTTCAATTCGCCCCATTTCAAATATACTCCTGAGAAAAAGAGGAGTTGAGGAATGTATGGAGTCTCCTGCATAAAATGACAGCAACCTTTAAGGCTGGATAGAAGAACTGGAGAGAAAAGGGTGTTCAGGGGTCCAATGACCTCTTCCCTGGTTATTCTTCCTAGTTGAGAGTTGAGATCTCACAAAGTCCTGTACATCAGCACTTCTCTCATTCTGCCCTTCTGGAAGCCAGGCTTTACAGAGTAGAATGTTAAAAGGCAGCTGAATCTAAGAGGGGACAAGGATGTTGCTCAAGGAAACCCCATTGATCAAGGTTCTGAAGTCAATAAATGACTGACGTTTCTTTTATCACAGATGAACCTCCAGTTGAGCTTCTGGCACTGACATGACCCTAACAGAGCCTTTGGCAACAACTTATTTTTTAAAATTTATTTTAGAAGCACTCTTATTTACATATTAATCCCCCCATTCCCTTGCCCTCCCATCTTCTCATGCTCCCCAACGATCCTCCAAATCCACCCCACATCCACTCCCCTGGGATAGTGAAGGCCCTCCACGGGGACATCAAAGTATGTCACATCATTTGGGGGAGGCCCCAGGCCCCACTTCTCATATCTGGACTGCAACAATATCCCTCCATAAGGAATGGGCTCCAAAAGTCCTTTGTGATCTAGGAATAAACACTGGCTCTACTGTTAGAGGTCCCATAGACTGACTGCCCTTCTGGCCTCCTAGCTGGCACCCACATTCAGAGGTCTTGGTTCCGTCCAATGCTGGTTCCCCAGCTTTACGAATAGATTCTCCGTACTCTCATTAGGTCGCATCAACTGTTTCTGCAGGTTTCTCCAGCACTGTCTTGGCTTCTTTGCTCATCTCTTCTCCCTCTCAGCAACTGGATTCCAGGAGCATAGCTCAGTGTTTATCTGTGAGTGCCTGTCTCAGCTTCTGTCAGATACTGGATGAAGGCTCTAGGAATGGCAACCAAGGTAGTCTTCAATCTCATTATAGGGGAAGGGCATCAAAGGCAGCCTCTTCACCACTGCCTAGATTCTTAGTTGGGGTCATCCTTGTGAATCCCCTTACATTTCACCTGTGCCAGACCTCTCTCCAAACCTGTACTGAATCCCTCTATCAAGGCATCTCATTTCTTGCCCTCCTCTATTCCTCCACTGTCTCAGCCCTCCTGTTCTCCTCCCCTATCCCTTTCTCCCATTTTTCCCCTTTCCACCTCCTCCCCCCAGGTTCCCAATTTTCTCAGGGGTTCTTGTCCCCGTCGCTTTCTTTGGGGAATCATGTGTTCTTCTCTTGGGGTTCTCCTTGTTTCCTAGCTTCTCTGGCGATGTGGATTGTAGGCTGGCACTCCCATGTCTAAAATCCATATATGTATGTGTACATACCATGATTGTCTTTTTGTGACTGGGTTACCTCGCTCAGGGTGGTTTCTTCTAGTTCCATCCATTTGCCTACAAATTTTAAGTTTCCATTGTTTCTTTCCACTGAGTAGTGCTCCATTGTGTAAATGTACCACATTTTCTCTACTCATTTTTCAGTTGAGGGGCATCTAGGTTGCTTCCAGGTTCTGGCTATTCAAATGTGAATTCTTTGGGTATATGCCCAAGAGAGGAATTGTTGGATCTTGAGGTAGATTGATTCCCATTTTCCTGAGAAACCGCCATACTTATTTCCAAAGTGGTCATACAAGTTAGTACTCCCACCAGCAATGGAGGAGTGCTCCTCTTTCTCCACATCTCCAGCATAGACTGCCATTGGTATTTTTCATTTTAGCCATTCTGACATGAGTGAGATGGTATCTCAGAGTTGTTTTGATTTGCATTTCCCTGATGGTTAAGGATGTTGAGCACTTTCTTAAGTGTCTTTCAGCCATTTTAGATTCCTCTATTGAGGATTCTCTATTTAGTGCTACACCCTACTTTTTAATTGGATTGTTTGATGTTATGGTGGCTAGTTTCTTGAGTTCATTGTATATTTTGGAAATCAGACCTCTGCAAGATGTGGGGTTGGTGAAGATCTTTTCCCATTCTGTGGGCCTCTGTTTTGTCTTGTTTACTGTGTCCTTTGCCTTACAGAAGTTTCTCAGTTTCAGGAGGTCCCATTTATTAATTGTCGATCTCAGTGTCTGTGCTACTGGTGTTTTGTTCAGGAAGCGGTGTCCTGTACCAATCCATTCTAGGGTACGTCCTACTTTCTCATCTAAGAGGTTCAGTGTGGGTGGATTTATTTTGAGGTCTTTGATCCATTTGGACTTAAGTTTTGTGCTTGGTGATAGGTATGGATCTATCTGCATTCTTCTACAAGACAGCATCCAGTTATGCCAGCACCATTTGTTGAAGATGTTTTCTTTTTTCCATTGTATGTCTTTAGCTTATTTGTCAAAAATCATGTGTTCATAGGTGTGTGGGTTAATATCAGGCAACAAATTTTTATAAAGACTCAAAGTTAAATAATTATATATGTGGGTACACAGATGAAGAAAGATCCTTTATCAGTACTAATGTCCCCAAATATAAGCATAGGTTACATAAGTTGGGTTCCAATTTCCATATGTATTGTAGTTTTCAACCACTGAGGTAAGCAGAGAACAGCTTGACACAGCATGGGAAATAGCTCTGTTTCACAAAATTGTCATCAATTCATGGTCTCAAGATTTTCTATAGTTTCTGTTGGAAATTGAATCTGAAATGAAGGACATTTTTTCGTGGGATGACATGTGTGCATCAGATATTTATGTATTGAGGTTCTATCACCCAGAACTGTAGAAAGCAACTGTACATAGAGATGTAGTCTTCAGAGACCAGATTAATGTAGCCTGAGGTTATATAGGCAACCCTAGTCCTGCTGGACTGGTGTCCTCTTGAGAAAGATGAGGCATAGAAAGATACGGAAGTCTCAAAACATAGGCAAAGGGAATATGGCTATCTCTGGGCCATGCTGCAGAAGAGAGCATCTAAAACATGCTCTCACATGTGTGTCCTTCAGAGCTGTGAGAAATAAACCCTGGCTCTTTGAGCTTCTCAGTCTGCAGAGTGTCTTACTGGAGCTCATGCCAGGGGATCCAGCAGAGCTATGGCAGCAGCATGTTCTGAAAAGAGAACTGAAATGCTCACACCCAAGTCCTCAACTCTAATCTGTCCCACCGTGCAAAGTCCGAATGGCTTCTTTCCATTGTTGCTTCAGATGGACAGGGAGGAGCAACGGGCTCAAGCAAAGCAGCACCAGGCTCCCTGGAGGCTCTGTGTCCTGCACTGGCACAAGGCTTTCCTTTCTAGGAGTTAGTGTGCAGACCTCTCTCTGTGCAGGCCCCAGAACACAGGTGTCTTTGTAGTCAGTTATAAAGTTCTTTGTTGCAACTTGGACATTGCTATGGAAGAGAGAGAGGAAGGTTTGTAGGAGCCAGATGGTCAAAGACATAAGGAACAAGACTCACAGAATCAACTAAGCTGTATTTATAGGGACTAACAGAAGCTGAAGTGACAATCACAGAGCATGCATGGGTCCATCCTATGTCCTCTGCATACATGTTATGGTTATGTAGCTTAGTGTTCTTGCTGAACTCCTAACAGTGGGAGTGGGGGCTTTCTCTGTCTCTTCTGCCTGCACTTGGGACTCTTTTCCTCCTATTGGGTTGCTTAGTTTTATGGTATATTGTTATGTCATGTTTGCTTGAAATCCCTGGGGGGCCTGTTCTTTCTGAAGGAGGAGAAGTGGATCTAGGGAGCGGGCAACAGGGTGAAGGGGCTGGGAGGAGTAGAGTCATATACAACTATAGCAGTGTATGTATGAGTTAAGAAAAAAAAAACTCCTTTGGGTACATGTCCAGGAGCCTGAATTATAGGTTACTTCTACTTTCTACCTTTTGAGGAATTTTCACAATGGTTTTCAAAGTGATTGCACCAGATTGCACAACCACCAACAACAAATAATGGTTCTTTTATTCCTGTCCTTACTAGCATTTTTTACCACTGATGTTTTGATAGTCACTCTGACATGGAATCTCAGAGTAATTTTAATTTTCATTTCCCATATGATTCAGGATGCTGAGCCCTGATTAAAATGTTTGCAAGGACCTGCTCTTTCTTTCTTTAAAAATTTTTAGCCTTTAGCTTGTTTATTGACTTGGTTGTTTTGCTTTATCATTAATATTTGATTTTAATTTCCTTTATAAATTATGTTTTTTAATTGTAAGAGAATTACAACACTTCACATAACCCTTTATTACTCTAGACATCCCCAGCAGCAATCCCTAGAATACTTTCTATGTCTGCCCCACTCTGAAATTAATAATTTCCTTTTAATTATCCTTGTTGTGTGCATATGTGTATGTGTGTGTATGTTTATATGTGTATGTTTGTGCGTGTGTGTGATGTGTGCAAATTACATATTAATACAACTGTTGAGTCATTTTTCTTGTTATTATGTATATGGTTTCAAGACTGACAACTGCACTGGACAATAAGTAAGAGGGCTCATCCCTGGGAG